TCTCTGCTCAGCGCTCAGCTGTGTGAGTGTGTGTTTCTCTGCTCAGCGCTCAGCTGTGTGAGTGTGTGTTTCTCTGCTCAGCGCTCAGCTGTGTGTGTGTGCAGAAGGGCAGTGACCCTCAGTAACCCAGCGGAGAGGCTCGTCACTGGGGGGAGTGAGGGGGTAAAGTCCTGACATCTGGCCCAGACCGGAGGAGCTCTGTGATACAGCTGCTGCACAGCTGGTTTCACGTCAACAGCTCTTGTGCTCAGGATGTCTACTGCAAAAACATCTGAAGACTTTCTACATATTAATAATAACTTCTTGCCTTTAGAAAGTGCCTTTCATCCCAAAGAGTTAGGGAGGACAGCCTGTCCAGCCCAGAGTGGGGTTCAGTCAGGACTCCGGGTTTGACACCCCCACTCTCAGGACCAGTGTCCTGGGACCTGTAATGGCCCCGTGCTCAGGACCCCAGTTTAACAGCTCCTGCAGCACAGTGTGTGTATTCTGGACCAGAGGGAAGAGAGCGCCCCCTGGTGGTCCCCCTGTGCCGCTGACAGCCTGGTTTTCCCCAGAGCTCTGTCATCTCGTTCTGTCTCTAACACAGTTGGGCGAGCTGGGGCCCTGTGCTGAGCGTCTCCATGCGGTGAACTGCAGTACCAGCGGTCACTCTGGCTGGCGGGGTTACTGGCGGTCTCCTCCCGGGCCCAGAGCTCGCGCCCAGCTGTCCGATTGGAACCTCAGCTCCTGGAGCTGCTGCTCTCTTGTGCACTGGTGTCCTCTGTTTGGGTCTTTTTTCTGTCGTCTAGGGAAAAGAGCTGTAGAACAAGCTCTGCTTGTCCATCTGTTACACCAAGAGAGATGGACATGATTCCTCAACGGTCTGACAGGGACTTAAGAAATTGCTTGTCTGCCTCCCTGCCTATCTGTCCTACCTCCCTGCCTCCCTGCCTGTCTGTCTGTCCTGTCTGTCTGCCTCCCTGCCTGTCTGTCCTGTGCAGAGTCATGGGTGATGTTGTCACTGGGGTACACAACTGTCCCAGCCCCCTCTCTCTCCAGTGTCTGCCTGTGCTGTGCAGAGTCGGGGGATCCGTTGTGAATCTCGCGCCCGGCACAGTCTGGCATCAGCCCCCGCTGTTGGTGCAGTTATCTGGAATGTTGCGTAACCTGGGGCCGTGTGGGCGGGCCGGGAGATTCTTGGTACACAAGTCAGAAACAAAACAATCTCTCTAACCAAACAAACAGCTCAGCGGAACGCGCTGCTCAGGACAGCGATCGCGTGACACGGCTGCGCATCGGAATGTGCAGGAGAAACCAGCGTGTTGAAACAGGACAGAGGAGGACAGACGAGGAGCTCAGCTGTGATAATGTGACTGACTGGGCACTCCAGTACTTTAAAACTGCACTGAGAGAGAGAGGGGTTAATACAGACACACTGACTGGACACTCCAGTACAT